TCCTTCCAAGACAGAGCATATAGCCAAACTGAGGGAGGCGCGAATCATGCAGTAATTGGGCGTCGTGTGCTGTACTAGCTTGTTACATTCAGCTGTGATAATGTCCTTTGGTTTCCAAGAATACAATTCTATTATTTAGTGGCACAAAATGTTAATATATGGAAAAGCACATAAACCAATATGACTTTTGCATCATTCTGATATTATTCTTCTATTTATCAGTTATACATGAGCTAATTTGCTTTATGGAAACGTGTTGTTGCAAGAGACTCTATTTCTTTATTTCCAAGTGACTGTCCTGGCATAAAATAGGTAAACAATATTGGGAAAAAAATTGGAAAACCATGTTTGAAGATGATTCAGCTACCTGCTGACTGTACTATGTAATACATAAGGTTGAGATGGGAAACATAAAAATTATCTTGGTTTTTGTACAAGTCTAACTAGGGGTAAAAAAAAGACCTGAATAAAGGAAATCTGTAAGACATTATGTAAAAAGAAATTAGCAGAATTGCTAAAGGATTGGATGTTGGGTGTCAAAAAGGCCCTAAATTTTTATTTAGGAAAACAGAAAAAGCCAGTGTTTCTCTTGACAATAATGAAACAAAAAACAAAAAACAAACTATGAAAGGTAACTAATAGAAGAGAACTATATGAGTTTATTTAACAAATTAAATATAATGCATAAAGACATTCAAATAACATTGTCCTGCAGACAAATACAGATGTAGGATTAGAGAGAGGGTATGAGATAAAAGCCACTTACACAGTCATGTTAGTGGGTGCTAGAGTTGAGGACAAGCTCCCGAGTTGAGGAAAGCAATGAATCACCAGCTCAGATATGAGGTCTATGGGGCTGGATTAGGGTCCTGTCCCCCTATCCAAAAAGAAGAGAAGATTTTGATGGAACTAAACTCATATGTGAAGATAAATTATTCCATTTTCAAAGGCTAGAGGAATAGATGGAGCAAAATTCAAACAGAAATTTAAATCTAAGTTTCAAATGGAATACAAGTAAGGCCAAATTCCCAGTCTTCCACCAAGCCTCCTGCCTAATTATATGATATGGTTGGAAGCATTGCCAAAACCTTCTTCTAATTTTGCAGTGACAACACTATCTCAGGCTCCATGTCCTCTTCCCACAGCCAAAACCATTAACTCTTACTTCTTCAGCTATCCCATCTCTTGAGAACTTCACAGCTACTGAAAAATTCCTCATCTAGATACACCCACCACAGCAAATCCTTTCACAAATTCTCTAGTTAATAATTTTCATAGAATACTATTATTCCTGGAATATTCTGCCAACAGCCCTGTAATGAACTAAAGAACTGGTGTTTCCCTTGCCAACTCTCTCACCACAAGATTATTTAAATACAAGTTTAATTAATAGAAAGCAACACACAATAAATAATATTCGTAGATGGCGAATGAAAATGGCAATTTCTAGTCCTGCCAAAATCCTACATCTTTATAGATGCATTTTTTTTCCACCTTGCCATAGTGACTGATGAGGTAGAAAGATTTCCTGACTTGACTTCCCCACTGGCTTCTGTTAGGGTTCCTCTGATGAATCCCTCTGGTTCCCACCTTCTCCATTCATCTTCATCCTTTCTAGAATACTTGTATAGCATTTCCGAGGAAGCCACAGCCATGTACATTAAGCTACCTAGGATCCTGAGAAATCTGCTCTTCCAACATTTTAATGGAAGAGTAGATGGAAAAGCTTCCATTTTGTGTAATCTCAGTGGGCACTTTCCTCATTAGAGTTCACTCCAATTCTTATCTGTCCTTGAAGAGGTCCAGCACTTGGTTTGCCTCTGTTAGCTCCACCTTCAGCCTCTGGCTACTCAGTGTTAGTTCTCCACTTAGATCTATCTCAGAGGCTCGGTCCCTTCCCTATAATTCTGATGCTATCACAGTGACTTCAGCAGAAGGTAACATTCTCTTCTACTATCACACCTCTTGTTTCACCCCATTCTATCAACAACATAAGGATGCGGACTAGACTGAGGATTTAGGGACAAGAATAGTTATAATTTTTAATATTAAAAATGACCCTAACCATCACTGTTCCCAGGGTCTATGAAAAAAATTAAAGAACAAATTAAATTCTTCACATAGATCCTCTCATTGAGTCTGCTGGTCCCTAGCCTTTCTGCCCTGTTCTTCCTCAGAAACAGAGAAAGAACATTCTTCCATCCCTCATGTAAATCTCTGCATTTCTCTAGGAAACGTTATCCCACCACTTAAGGGAGTTGGTCTTATCCTAAAGTACCACCCTCTACCTCCAGTCAGGGCAAGCCATGAGACATAAGAGGCCACAGCAGTCTCTCCCTCCAAAGACTGAGTTGTTCAATCTAGAACAACAGTTTGGACCTTCAGTCAAACAATATACACACCCATCTCTCCCAGGACAAGTACAGACAAAATCCCTTTTAAAGAAGAGAAACATTTCCCTAAAGGCAACATGATCTGCAGAGCTTGCCCCCCAGGTCACAAAGGAGATAGCATTTTTACCTTATGGACAAAGAGATATCAATCTCCCTTTCCCATTCTTTTGTTTCCAGGCCTTGTCCAGGTTTTTGCAAACAAACCAACCCACAGAGAAGCCCATTTTGGCATCCTTGAGGATAACAGTGCAGTCAAGTTAATTGCTACTCTTTATCTTGCCTTTCTTTATCTTGGACCACATCCTATTCTAGTCAAGATTTCCTCCCATTCTAGTATTGGAAATAGAGCAAAGACTAACAGAGAGGTGCACATTCCACCCAAGCCATTTTCTGCAATTGCTTTTTCCCCATTTTACTGGATTTCGCTTTCCAGCAGGGCCCTTTCCCGTCAGTCCTCAGACCTCATGTTCCCCCTGGATTTTACCCTGTCCCCCACCAGTAGGAATCCATGGCTGACCTGGCAGCCTATTTGTTGCACCTAATTAGGGTTAAGTTACATGAGCTTTATTCAGATAGCTTTTTCTTTAATACGTTTCTCTAAAGCTGAGCTTGCTCTATCCAAAGCCATTCAAAATTATCTTCTGCCAAAATCATCTTCTACCAGAAGGTGGCGGGGAGGGAGGAGAAGGGATGTAGATGGGGTAAAAGGGGTCAAATATGTGGTGACATTAAATAATTAAAAAATTTTTTAAGTGAATTAGTTAAAAAAAAGACAAAATCATTTTTTTCTCTCATATTATAAGTCCCTAACCTTCTAAATCTACATTCTCAAAGTCTCTTTATTAGTTCCCCTTTTCTTGTCAGATTTTATTTCTCATCCTTAGATAACTGATTTTTTCCAACTCTTCTGCTCACACCTTTATTTTGCTGTTCTTGGAATTTCTCTTTTCCTGGCCCCTTTTCTGCTCCACATCTGCACATTTTCTGCAAGCCACCTAAATGCTCTCTTAGAATACCTTCTCACTTCTCATGACACACCAGCTCTCTGAGCTATTAAAATTCAGGAAATTTCCCAACCACCCCTATGCACTCTAGAGCCAACAGTGACAACATCACCACCCTTGTCGGGAGACAGTTCTATAGACTCAAAAGAAACATTATTTAATTGATCGGGGCTTTGACGGTTATGTTGCAATGACATAATAAATGCCTTACTTTAGCTACCTTATGAACTAGGAAGGTACAACAGCTGCATTCCTAATTAAACAAGCTTCCTGGGATAACCTAAGAATTTGATCACCATTTATAACATTCTCTGTTTGGGAAAATGAGGCCTTCATTCTAAATAACCACAAATAAACTTTGAAACACTAGTTCACACCTGGCATCTGTAAACATTGTAGTCATTTCCCACCCACATGCAAGCTTCACTTTTTGTAGGAAGCCGAAGCTTTTCTGTTTCAAAGACCTGGATAGACCAGAAGATAACGTATTACTGCAGACTGGAGGAACCCACTTGCTGATGATAATGACAATAAAACATTTGTTTTTGTATATTTTCACCTTTTAATCACATTTATGTTTCAAAACCACCCTTAAGATTTTTAGAATAAATAGTGCAGATTTGGGCAAAGAGCAACTATTTAGAGACAGGGGACCTAGGTTAGGTAGCCTGGCTCTGCTGTGTATTAGACATTTCTCTGGCCAAGTCACTTAATTCTTCCAAGCCTCAGTTTCCCTAACAGTAAAACAAGAGTAGTAACAACAACAATATCCTCCCTGTTAAATTTTATGATTCTTCAGTAAGGCATGGCAGCAAGACAAGTTATGAGCAGGGGTGGTGTTGCTGAGGCAGGTTGGGGCTAGGGTGAGCACAGAAATTCTAATAAGCAGGTAGGGTAGGGCAATGAAGGGAATTAAGAAATATTTGGACACAATACAGGCAAACACCAGGTTAGAAGGCAAAAGTAGCAGGATATCCTCACTCGTGGTCTGAGCCTAGTGAACAAAATGGAGTGGGTGGTATTCACCATCCCAGTATTTCATGGGGCGCGGGGGGGGGCGGGTCTTTACCAAAGCCAGTTGCTATCCCTTAGGAAGAGAACACAGCATTAAAAATTACAGAAAGATAGACTAGAAACCTAGAATGGGAATCCAAGGGAAGCCTTATTCTATGAAATGAGGACAGAGGACACTTGGAAATAGGTGGCTATCGTGATACTCTAGGGTGGCTTAACCACCATTTAAGACAAATCAATTCCAGCGATCATCCCTGAAACCCCATGCAGCAGCAAAAGAACCTTGGAGCATGACACTGAAGTGCACACGTTATCAGGGCAGGGTACAGGTTACAGGAATGTACGTTAAGTGAGCAGAGGGTGCTTTCACACACACACACACACACACACACACACACACACACACACACACACACATACAAACTTTCCAGTAGCATTAAGAATCAATTATCAGTTAAATCAGTCCATTGGGACTCTGTGCTTGGCCAGGTGCTCACTCCCAGAGCAGGTGAATCCTTCTCACTGCCTTGTGGCCACCGGTCTCTTTGCTCCTATCAGTTACTCTGTAAATGCTGGGTGCCAGGGTGGCAGGGTCTGGGGAAGGGGCGGCAGGCGCCATGTCCGGCCACGAGGGTGGCAAGAAGAAGCCCCTGAAACAGCCCAAGAAGCAGGCCAAGGAGATGGACGAGGAAGATAAGGTGTTCAAGCAGAAGCAGAAAGAGGAGCAGAAGAAACTCGAGGAGTTAAAAGCGAAGGCCACGGGGAAGGGCCCCCTGGCCACAGGTGGAATTAAGAAATCTGGCAAAAAATGAGCTGTTCCTTGTGCCTGGGGCAATGGCGATACTTAATTCCATTCTGGTTTTAACATCCGGATTCCCTGCCATAACATCTGTTGCCACCTATAGCTAGAACGAAGTTGTTTTGGAGACTGTTGTACATGTGAGAATAAACTTTTGTAAAAAAAATTTAAAAAAAAAATACAGCAGGTACTCAGAGAGTGTCAGATGAGTGCCTGGACAAAGGGTGAATAATGAATGCAAAAAGTTTAAGTCCACGCATGACAAGGGGGGATTCAGGCGCAGTAGCCTTTTGTACAAAGAGGAGGCTGCACTTTTTCTCTCATGTAAAGGAACAGTAAGGATGTTGTCTCATCCTTCATAATGAAGTCTGCAGACATCCTTAGTTCTCTGCTCTCCGCACTTTGGAAGATAGAATGAAGCCCTTAAGCACATTTTAAGAGCTATGTAGGAAAAGACAAACAAGCTTAGAAGAAGTCTAAAAACTGAGAAGCCAATTATCAACAAGTTCAGAGTTCCTATTTAAGGCCAGTCAAAACCAGTAAATGAATGACAACAACAACAAAAATGTGTTAGGCAGAGTTAACCACTTAGTTAATACCTTAATATCCATTTGAAATCAACAACAGATTTATCAGTCTTGATATATCTCCTTTGCAATGCATTTGCGGAGAAGTGTAATATGGGATGGAATTCAAGGTGTCTGATCCTGGCTTACTGGTGATTGTGTGAGGAATGTGAACTGGACTGGTGAGTTTGCCGCTGAGCCCTATGGGACCCAAACCTGCGAGTGTGCCTCAGTGAGTCCTCATCTCCAGAGAGGCGTGTGGACCTGCGCTTCCTAGGAGCTCATTTCCAGCAACAGGACTTTCACATCTCCTAATTAGGTGATATTCGATGTTCACAGGCTGGTGATGGATGAGATACTGAAGTGTAATCACAACTGATATTATTCATGTCCCAGGAATGTGAGGCCAAGCCTGCTCTGCTAACTCCAGCAGAAAACAATGGTGCAGTTGACAAGTAGCCCTTTTATATTTCAGAGTCTGGTCTGAATTTATGCCTTCTGTTTGCTCATGATTGCAGAACAGGTATCAAGAGAGGAGAAATAAACATGATGTAAGTTTCATTTCCTGGTTGTTTGTGGCTTAGCAAATCATATAAGACTGGCACAGTCCGCCTGTTAGAATAACCAGAAACGAAGCCAGCTGGGCAGCCTCTGCATCTGCCGTGAGATGTTTGGTTGCCTAGAGGCCCAAGTAACCACAGAAAAGGTAATTAACTTAACAGGTGTCATGCCAGGCATTGTGCTAAAGTAAAAGATGGAGGTAAGCTGCCTATTCTGAAATGGGTAGCTGTCAGGTGAAAAAGACAAAATATGCCAGCAACTAATGGAAGTCAGATGTTACCCAGGACTTTAATAAAGGAATAAATAGAGAGAAGATTAACCCTGACTAAAGGGAGGAGGGCTACCAAGAGGGAGTCCTGAAGGATGAGTAAGAGTGCGTGAAGGGGGAGCACATTCCAGGAGATAAGAAATGGAATGGAGCCATGAGCAAGGAGCTGTAATAACACAGAGGAGGGATAGTAGCCCAGGAGATAGAACCTCACTTCCTACAGGGAAAGTGAGGCTGGAAGGGTATGAGGTGATAGTCAGATGGAGGGCAGAAAGAAGCACATTCCAAAAAGGAAAGACAGCACTTGCCACACCGAGAGGTGAAAGACCATGGCAGTTTTGATTACCACCAGTAACTCAATAAGTTTGGAACCTGAGGATGGTTTAGAAGATGAAGTGGCAAAGTAGGCAAAGTCCAGTCCATGAGAATTTTTTGCCTGTTTGTTTTAGTCAGCTAAGTACTTTCTATTTTATCCTGATGGCTATGAGAAGCCACATAAAGTGGTCCAATCAATTTGACTTGGTGACTAACTGGATCTGGGGAAAAGGTATAAAAGGAGCCTTTTATACTTTTATTTTTTATTTTATTTATTTAGTGTGTGGATTAAAATTAAAAATTAATTAATTTTTATGGTTACATTGGTTAACAAAATCCAATATGTTTCAGCTGTACACTTTAACAGTAAGGCATATATATTTACACTGTGTGTTCACTTCCCATAGTTAGATTTCTTTCTGTCACCACATATTTGACCCCCTTTACCCATCTACCTCTCCCCTCCCCCTCTGGCCTTTTATAATTTTAAACCAGAAATATAACTGACAGGCAAATAGCCTCATGTGATCTCATTGATTTTACTGGGCAGGAGGAAAAAAAATGGAATATTTCTCCTATCTGCTTAGTAACACTATTTTCCAATAATCACCCTCTACTTTGTTTCCTTATTTGTTCAAACGTTATCTCCTCAATTAGACTATCAGTTCCTCCAAGGAAGATTAGAAAGATTCATGTCTAATTCAACTTTGTGTTATTCACACTTTCTAGCACTGATCTTACACATATTAACCATTCTCTAAACATGTGTCGAATGAATGGAAAACACAGATTTGTGTGAAGGAGAGGGGAAGAGAGGTGGTGCCAGGGTTAGTATTTAAACCAAGAGAAATCCTTCAACTACTTACTATGTGGAGAGGTTACTTTCCCTGTCATCCTGCACGTCCTCCAGGCAGTTATGACCACCAGAGGCCATCAGAATAGACTTCAGAACATCCCCACTGCCCATTTTTTTAGGGGTGGGGGGACAATAAAGTCTATATAATTTCTAGAAGATTCCAAAGACAACCAGATATACACTTGCCAGTACAGGGCTAAAGTGAGAGGAGTTTCTTGTCAACATTTCAAGATATCCACTCACCTATTTATTGATACCTACGAGTTTAGGCTCATCAGGATTCTCTCAAGTCATCCATTTCCAGACCGTGTTCCAAAGCCAGCAGTATTTTGTATATTGAAGTTATATAGCAATATAGACTATAGCTGAAATTAAAGCATAGCACATGACATTTAGTTGTCATGTCTTTTTAGGCTCTTTTTCACTGCGACACATTCTATGGCTTTCCTTGATTTTGATGACCTTAGCAGTTTTGAGGAATACAGATCAAGTATTTTGTAGAACACCCCTCTATTAGGAATTGTGCGATGTTTTTCCTGTGATCAGAACATGGCTATGAGTTGGGGGGGTGGGGGAGGGAGTACCACAGAGATAAAATGCCCCTCTCATCACATCATATCAAGGCTGCATACTATCAACATGATTTATGATGTTGATGTTGACCTTGATTACCTAGCTGAAGTAGTGTTTGTCAAGATTCTCCATCATAAAGTTACTTTTCCCTTACCTTTTCCTGTTATATTCTTGGAAAGGAAATCACTTTATGCAGCCCACAATTAAGAAGTGGGAGTTATAATCTATGTCTTTGACAGCAAAATAGTTACATAAGTTATTTGGAATTCTTCTGCAAAGGAGATTTGCTATTGATCCCCATTTATTTATTTATTCAATCATTTATTTATAACAGTATAGATTCATGAATATTTATTTTATGCTTTGGGTTAAAACCCAATACTACTTTATTTTGTTGCTCAAATTGTTCCAGCTTTGACCATCGAGAGCTTTTCAGTTGGCTTTTGTGTCCCTGAAAATACATCAGTCATTGTGGGGTTTCATTGAGTGCTTCTTTACTTTCTGGAATTACAAGATGTTCAGACTCGTCTTGTTTATTTCTTCCCCAAGTCCTAGAATCAGATATTTCTCCAAGTAGCTCTGGTTCGTTCACTGGAGATTGGTATTGGAGACCAGCATCTGGGTGTGCTGGATGCTCCTGGGGTACTGTTGCTTCTAGGTTTTCTCAGGTGGCAGAGAAAGAATATGCATAAGTGCATATTAACCCATGTATGTACACATGTATCTATAAATATTTCCATCTAAAAACTATCTGTACCTGTATTAAGCTAAATATGGGTTCATACTCATGTCTCTGACTCTAACCCAGTACCACATGAATCATTCTAGCCTTTTCCCCTTGCTTGTCTACATCTTATTCCTTACAATGAGAAACATGGCTTCCATCCTTCACCAGCCATACATTACTTCATTGCTCCATTCCGGTGTACTGTAGAATGCTTACATAATTGTTAGCCCATAAGTTTGTAGAAAATAATTTTATAAACTAGAGTGCTTATATACAATTTCTTTTGCCTTTAATTTTACAGACTCCATTTATTTCCAGATTTACTTAGGTCAGCACTTTTCTCCTACCCTTTCTCCCCCTATCAATAAGAGTGTTCATGAATTTATAATACAGTTAGATTCTTTTGTCATATTTTGCACTCCATCCTAGAATCCTACAACCTCCTGAAGGATTTTTAAAATATGCATAATTAAGGCTCACTCTTTGTGCTATAAAGTTTTCTGGGTTTTGATAAGTGTAGGGTATCGTGGATCTACCATTTTTACAGCACATTAAAGAATAGTTTCACCACCGTTAAAAACAGATTTAGCTAGACAACTTTTCTCTCATCCCAAGTCCCAGGCAATCATTAATCTATTTACCATCTCTATAAGAGTTTTGCCTTTTCCAAGACATCATATAAGCAGAATTATATAGTATGTAGCCTTTTAAGACTGGCTTCTTTCATTTAGCAATGCGCATTTAAGATTCCTCTACATCTTTGTGTGGTTTGATAGCTCATTCTGCTACATGAATGTACCACGGTTTCTTTAGCCATTCACTGATTAAAAGTTGCTCCTAGTTTTTGGCAATTATCAATGTAACTGCTATAAATATTCTCATGCTGGTTTTTGTGTGGAAATAAGTTTTCAACTCAGTTAGGTGAATACTTAGGAGTGTGATCGCTAGGTCCTATGGTAAGACTATGTTTAACTTTGTAAGAAACTGCCGAACCATTTTCCAAAGTTGATGTTACCATTTTGAATCCACACCAGCAATTCGATGAGAGTTCTAGTTGCTCCACATCCTTGCCAGCGAATAGCATTGTCAGGATTTGGGGATTTTAACCACTCTAATAGGTGAATGATAGTATCTCATTGTTTGACTACTTTCAAAAATATTAAGTTTGTCAGCAATGGCGAGTAAAACTTAAAAACTAAACAAGAAATCTGAGTCACTGGTATTGAGAATAGTTCTTAAATAACTCAGGCCACAAAAGAGGTATGTCTTTTTGGGATCATATCATAAATGGGGTGTAGAAACTATCAATTTGTTTCCTATATTTAACTTTAGCTCCTATGTTCTCTCTCCTCAAAAAACAGAGAGAGAAAGAAAAAAGAGATGTATGTCCTAATGCTTTATATAACATAAATGAGAGAGACGGAGAGACAGAGACAGAGAGAGAGAGATGCATAAAGTAATCTTCAGAACAGAGGAGAATATCGATTCTAAACCAAAATGAAAAACATGCTCAAAACTGGAAGAGAGGGGTGTCATCTGGGTAGAGGGGACAATCCTAGAAACCCTGACAGCTCCTTTTTCTAAGAGTATCTGGGATTTGTGTTAATCAAGTGTAGTACAACATATAGACATGGAAAAGACTATCACAAAAGAAGTTTTTACGGTCATAGGTCCCTGGAAACAGGAGGCACTGCACATGACATAGGACCACATGAAGATGCACCAGGGCCCATTCTAAGGAAGAAGCAAGGGGAAAACATGAGCAAGAGACTATACCATGGTTTCCTTGGGAAAGGCAAGCAGGTTTAGGACTGGCCAGTTTGAATAATTTCTGTGGGTTCTGGGGCATGGTGGGAAGGGGCGTCTCTTGTTTGTTATCTGGCCTTCAGCTCATTAGGGCAGGGGGATAGTGGGTTCCCATGGGGCAGGACGTGAATAGCAGGGGTAGGGGCAGAGTGTTTGTAAAAATTCTCTGCACTTTCTGTACTTTCTGGTATGAAATTTTGTTGTGAACTTAACACTACTCTAAAAAATAAAGAAAAAAATTAACAAATATGGTTTTTAATTGAATCGAATTTTCTGCACAAACCCTCACACGAAATCTGGTTATAACTTCCACCTTTGAGTTTTTTACAATCCCCCATTTCCTTCATAGCTAACTAGGTCATTGGCCTGACAAGGGAAAATAAAGCAATTAAGGAAGAGAATGGTGTCTTAGACTTGGTCATTCCTCCATCCTAATCCTTATATATGAATATTTAATGACAGCATGAACCACAGAGTAGGCAGCCCACCTCCCAAGCAATGTTAACTATACACCAGGTGGTATAAAACTTTGATTAGCCAGAACACTATGCTAAAGGACTAGGGTTCTAGTTCATTGGTTCCATGGCTCCTGAGTGTACCCTCCTTCCCAGACCTGCCTTCCTTGGAAGAAGGCACAGCATTCCCTGAGGATGGCAGTGTTCACCCATTGTTTCAGTCCTGCGTGTGTGCTTCTGGGGTCGATTGCTAAAGAAATAAATATTAGAATCCATTGTAAGTGCTGCTGGCAACGGACAAATATCCAGAGGAGCTAGGGCTCTGAGCTGAAATATGGAAGACAAAAAGTCCCTTACGGTGAGAGAGGAAGGAGGAGAAAGAGAGAGGAAGAGAAGGTCAGAGAGGGCCGGAGATGAACCTCAGATCCTTCACCACCATAAATTCAAGGGAAATTTTGTTGTGAACTTAACACTACTCTAAAAAATAAAGAAAAAAATTAACAAATATGGTTTTTAATTGAATCAAATTTTCAAGTGCTGGATCCTCACTGGCACCCTCTGTGGAGGCTGTTTACTGGGTCGTGAAGATCTGTGCCTAGTGTAGGGGCATTCACACCACATGCCCCAGCCCTATGCAATAAAAAGTCCAATGATCACCTATAATAAGGCCTACTTTAAGTGCCACCTCTTCTGTCAGGCCATTCCCATCTCTCGAACCAGAAGCAGTCTCTCTACTTACTGATTATCTTGCCATGGTTTCAACACGTTTCTTGGAGCCTATGATAGTCAGGAAGGTGTTTCAAGAAACTCCGTGGTAAATGGGTGGAGGGCTAAGAGGGAAAGGGCTCCCCAATACAGCTCAGCCAGAACAGCTGTGTTTGTGCCTGTAACAGACATCAGCTCCTTACAGTTCCATTTAAAAAGGGAAAAACTTCAAAACCACTAATGTATAATGAAACATCACTATTTTGGACCATCCACTGCAGATAATCCAGATGGTCTCAATTTAGATACATGTTGTCTCATTGTCAGATAACATATCAGAATATGTGTCCCCATTTGGCATTTGGAAAACATCATGGAGTTGATGACATTTATCATATACTGTCTTGTAATAACACTTGTGCGCTTCTTTTATGATCTTTACAAATTTTAAACTGCATAAGTGTGGGAAGTGTATTCTCCTTTGCATCTTTTAGAGTAGCTGTCATAGTGCCTTATACTCTGGTGTTCAATAAATATACCTCGAATGACAATAAGAATGTTAGGTCATATTCACTAGCAAGCAGATTTGTGCAGAAGGTCCTAAGATGTACAACTTAATAGAATGAATGTGCAAAATTCTTATCTTTGCTTTCTAGACAGACCCACAATGAAAACCAATTTAAAGATGGGATTTTACAAACCAAAATGGAAGTCTTAGACCACTCTAGGAACGGAGATTTTAATAAAGGCCTGCAAAGGAGACAACTACCTCAGAAGCAGCTCAGCATTCAGTATTCACAGCATTTCTGGGTGAAGGTGCAAAGCTTAGGGTCACCACGTGTTGACTATTATCCGAGTGCCTTGTTTACATAACATGTCCTGCTCAGACAAGTGGCCAGACTACAGTCAGAGGCACCTAGATGTTTCTGGAGGGTTAAGATGAAGGCCTTTAGAATGCAGTTTCCACATTCAGTCAAGCAGGTTTGGAAAGAGAAGAGAAATATAGGTCAGCCCAAGAGGAGTGCCAACATTATTGGCCCAATTCCTTGGCACAGAGTGGGCACTCGATAAATATGTGTTGAATGTGTTTTTTTTCCTGCTTCAACCTGTTCAGTCAGTAGTCAGGCAGCTCAAAGCACTCTCAAGGACACAAACATACCCATCTATTATTCTTCTTGAGGAAAATACCACAACCATAGTTTCTAGAGAATTGACAACAAAAACTAGTAGATGGGTTTTGGAGTATCCACCACACCTGGTGGGAGAAATGTGCTCGAGAGTCTGGACCAACAGCAGGGCAAGTGGCAGCTAAAGATCCTGGCCCTGAGCTTCAGTGACCTTGGGGCCCTAAGCATGGAGACTATTGTCGGATGTGGTTTTCAAATACCCTTACAAAACGTTCTCTATGACAGTCCTGGGTGTCCCCCACTGCATCTTTCATCGTTCTTTGTGTGAGCACAAATTAAGTGACCTGTAATAAACTCCTGAAAAGATGGTCTATCCTTCATGCACAGGGACTTCTGACACTAGACAACACAATAAAGGTGGCACAAGAAAGGCAGAGATGGATGGGAGACCACCTAGGAATACCAGGTGCTGTAGGTATTAAAAAAAAAAAAGAAAAGAAAGGCAGAGACAGTGAAGACATATACCTGCAGGGTATGAGTATGTTTTGTACATGTGTTGGGGGAAGGTATATGGGTACATGTCCTTCCTTTGTGCATGAATGAATGTAAGGGAGCAAAAGAAATGGGAGTATCATTGTAGCCCTGTCTTCCCCTCTTTTTTGATCTTGTTTCTCTCTAACCCAGAACATTAAGTGAAAAAATTGTCATAGCTCTACATGTTCGTTTTGACAGATACTAAATTAGATGAACAAGGAAACTTCGACAATTCAACAGTCTGGATTTGCTACCAGGTATACAAATGAAGAGGCTTCAGAGAAGGAATTAGTAGAGACTAAAATCTATGCAAACCAAGTTATTATTATCTGCATGACCCTTGAATGAATCACAGACCTTTCTCTAGTTCATTCATTAAAGGACTGTCGTATTCAGCAAATATATATCATGTGCCAGGTATCTATTCTAAGCACTGAGGATTCATTCATTCATTCATTAAACAAATATTTATTAAGTCCTTACTATGTGCTAAGCACTGATGTAGTAGGATGTAGCAGTGAATAAAATAAGGCAGTTTCTGCCCTCATAGAGCTTATGCTCCAGTGGAATGGGGTGGAGGAGATAATAAATAAATAAATATACAATATGTTGGGTGATAATTGTTATGAAGAATAAAGGCGATAAAAAGATAAAAAGGGCCATGGGTGATATTTTATATAGGTCGTCTGCAAGGCCTCCGGGGAGCTAACAGTTAAGCAGAGGCCTGAAAAAAGCTAAAGAGGGAGACATACAGGTATCTAGAGAATGAGCACATGACAAGAATATAATAGGAATGACTCATTATACACGGAAGCATTTTAAGTTGCCTCAAATCCCTTCTGGAAAGAGGCGAAGAGTAAATCACTCAAAAGGGCCTTATCTACCAAACACGGACAAACAACAAAAGACAAACAAGAAATAAGATGAATGTTAAAGGGTAATTTAAAACATGGAGGCTATATAAAGTAATGTTATTTAATAGTCATTTGTTTCCAGTCCACAGTCAGGATCAAGTATGCATCTATATTTGAAGGTCTTATCCGCAAATAAAATTGGTGCTGCCTGTGTTCAAAAGCTAATTTAAATGCCAAAAGAGCCCAAAGATTTGGTGGTTACTGTGAGTGACTGGCTAACTTGCTCAGAACTACATGCTAGGACTCCTTCTACATGTGCACATAGTTTCATATATACTGTTTCCTGCTGCCTTTGATAAGGCAGAACTGAAATCTCCAAAGTAAGATGTGATCTGAAGTTCTTTATTTATAAGGAAGTCACCGCTTAGAAAATTCCTTAGCTTTTGGCAATTGTTCAACCAAATTCATTAGCAGAGGGTTAACTTTATTTCCTGGAGTGATGACATTCTAATTGGGTAGCAAGGAGGGGAATCTTCCAGCTTCAAGGACATACTCATTCAAACTGTTCTAACCTTCCATTTCTCCTTAAATCTAACTTAGGGGGATAATCGAGAACATGCGCACACAAATTCAGTCTGAATGTGGCATTTTGGAGGAAAACCCCAGCTGAGTACACATGGGTATGTTTCAGCTTCGACAGCAGAGAAATAGTTATGCATTATACATGGACTATAAAGACATTTTTTTGTAAGTTTTATTTTAAAATGTTTAAATTTTAGAACTAAAATGTTCCATGTGTTTAGTTTTTCTTGTTTGCTAGACTAGAAAAAAAAGTGGTTGAAAATTCAGTCTCAGCACACGTGTGGTATATTTCAGGAATGTTGAATATATTATTTCTGGAGCTATGGAGTTTGTGAACACAGCTCTTAATTCATTGATGATTGTAGTCAAGGAGTCATTTATTCAATAAATGTTTATCGATACCTACTATGTGCCAGGCCTCATTTTAGGTATGGAAGATACAATAGTTCACCAAGTCCACAGTTTAGAGAAAACGGACCACAAATGAATCTATAAATACATATAATGTCAGGTAATGAAGAAATTCTTCTTGCTTTAAGCAGGGAAAGGGAATGTGGGAAAGGCTGCTGTTTTAGAGAAATGGCCTCTTCCCTGAAGTCTCTTTTGAATAAAGACCTTCATGGAATCTTTTGGTTACCTGGGGAAGAAGAGGCAGGACATATGGAGTGCCTCAAGCACTGCTGGAATTCCTAGAAAAGCGTGAAGGCCATGTGCCCAGGGCTTAGTGAGTAAGAGGGAAAGCTACTAATGGGAAATGAGGTCTTACATGAAACCATATGTTCTAGGGCTCCTGGTGCCCCTGAAGTGGAAGGACCACTGAGTCCACAGTCCAGCTTCATTTTTTTGGATGTTCAAACGATGATGACAAATTGCAAGGAAAGCCTGCTATCAAACTACAGCTGCCTTACTCTACATAAAAATGGATATTTGTTGTTTTATCTCCTGGGTCCATTTACCTATGCATTTCTCCCACCTGAAATGCCCTTCTTGACTCCTCTCCCTATTCAATTTCTCACATATTTCAAAGCTTCATTTAAGCTCTGCCTCCTGTAAGAATCCTCCCCTAATTCCTCCGGCTGACATTGAGTAGCTCTTCTGTGACCAAAGATTTTTACAGAGGACTTCCTCGACATCGACAGATTGGTGTTCAGGGGAACCCTGAAATTGAACATGAAAGAGTTTATGTGTGTATTTTCTCTGTGTGTATTTTCATGACAAGAGTGTTCATAAGTCCCATGAGATTTTAAAATGAGTCTTTGATTTAAAAAGATTGAGAACCACTGCTCTTGACCAGTGCTTCTCAAATATCAGATGTGCACATGAGCCATTTACATTTCATGAAATTGAAAATTCCAGTTCAGTGGCTTTGGAGCAAGGCTTGGTACTGCTGGTCCCAGGACCACGCTTGGTGGCAAGAGGCTAGAATATTTCTCATCAGCACTTGCTTGCATACACTGGTATGTTCTCTCCACCCATTAAGTAAGATTGCAGTATGAGTTTTCTGTGGTGGTAACAAATTCCCACCAACTTAATGTCTTACAGCATGGATACTGCTAACACTTGGCTCTTCTCCCACAGTCAGGACTAATAGAAAAATAGCCCACCATTGGATTTGACAGATGCTTGCTCTTCAGATATTAGTGTAAAGTAGATCTGATTAAAATATCTTCTCTATATCCACTTTCTTAGTCTCACTTAGGCTTCTAAGGTTACCACCAATTTTTCAAGGCTATGCCTTTCTGTAATTCAGAGCAGAATCCCAGGACCCCTAAAATCATCCTAAAGCAAAGAGCTTCTCTCTCTGCCATACTAAAATCAAAATCCATCAAACCTAAAAGCCATCATAGTACAGGAAATGTATTTGTTTGAAAGAGTTTTCTCTCATTGAGATGTTCAGTACAAATAACACAGAGCATCAGAGAAGTCAGGATAAATCAAATCCGCCAGGCCCTTGAAGGAGCGGGTTCTGGATAAATTGTTTAGAGCGCAGAAGCAAAGCCTTATAAAGGAAGGGCAGATAAGTAAAGTCTCTAGAAAGCGAGGAATGGTACAGAAAAGTGAAAATAGGATTTTGGAATAAAATTGCTACCTCGAACAACCTGCCACTCTATGCTTGCAGAAGCTGTAAAAAGGTTGGTCATGTGGAAATAAAGTGTTAACAGCAGCTAACAAAAGAGCAAATGAAAACAATTCTACACACAAGACATGTGTGTAAAGGATGTTTTTGTGTGTGCAAAAGGAATTTTTCATGTGGTATTTAATATACATACATACTATGTGCACTCATGAAAAGACCATGTGCAATGAAAAGTATGCATAAATATTTATAAAAATATGCTTATCTAAGTAGGCCAGTAACATTTAATATTTTTTCAATAAATTCATACATAAAATATATACATTAGTGCCAAACAGAACATATATTTTGAAATATGAACCCCAAGTAAAACTCTCAGGAATCTGGAGTAAAATCCAGGTCTCTGCCAAAGGAAACTTCGGAGCAACTGCCATTCGCAGGGAAGAAACAATGCCCTGTCTCTTATCTTCACGGATTGTTTTGCTTGTCAGATTTCTAACATCACTTCAGCTGAGTTTTGTGTGTGACTTCCAACCTCATGGCCATTTGACCTGCCAACTATTATTTTCTTTGAGGCTTTTCACACTCCACCCAAGTATTTTGCTTTCCAGAGCAGTTGTGTCCGTTTCCTTTTCACTTTACCTTAACGTCAGCCGTGGTTTACGACGTCGGCTGAACGTGCATCCTCTAAGGTTTCAGACAGACCCAAGGGAATTGCAGAGATAACCTAAAGCTGAGCCCTCTCTGGAAAGCCAAGGTTCCCTGGAGGGTCTCTGCTTTATGCCTAAATTTCCATCCAACCTGAGACGCCTGACCGGGAGCGCCGGACTCCGCTGGGTTCCATCCTCCTCCCCAGGCCGGTGGTAGTTCGGGCTGGGACCTCACAGCCGGAAAACACCGCCCTTTCCTGTCGCCTACTCAAACCCCAGGCCAAAGACTCCAGGAGGAGGAGACGGAGACGGATTAAGAAAATTAATTAACCAGGTCCTGGCGCAGCCTCCGGGCGGAGGGGCGGGGCGTGCAGCCGCGGTCATCTGAATGACCGGCGGGCACAGGTGTCGCCAAGGACGGAATTTTACGTTCCCCGCAGGCAGCTGCGCTACTTGCGCCTCGTAGCGTGTCGGGCGCAGCCTCCACCTGTTTGCCCCAGCTTTAGTCAAGTCCCTTTTAGGGACCCGCGGGAAAGAAAACACCTCCCCATGGACTGGAAAAACCTGCAGCGTCGGCTGTTCGTGTGCCCGCTCGCTCAGCCGGCAGCCCTGGGCGTCTCCAGTGTGCCAAATCCATTCTCCGGGTTTTGGTGACAGCTCCAAGGGGAGCGAGCTGGAAACTGACAGAACACGACCCTCCCCCCAAGCCCGGGATCACAGTAGCCGGGGACCGCGGCCCCGCAGGGGCGGCGCGGTCTGGTGGCCTTGCTTCTCCGAGAGTCGCCCGCGGTGCCTCGCCGGGCTAGGTTGGCTTGTTGGGACGAGGAGAGGTGGGCGCACGAGGTTTAGCGTGAGTGTCAGGGATGCGGGTGGAGTCCCTTTGTCCTTGGGTACCCAGGCGCCAGCACCCCGGGGTCCCTCTTTGAACCGAGCATCCCCGTGACCTTTCTTTGTGCGGAGGGAAGCTGAACGCAGCTTCTCCGAGGAAAGCCACATCCCTAAAAGTGGCGCTGGGGCGGTAACAACAGGGGCCCATTGTCCTCCGTGGGCCCGCAGGCCCTGCCGTCGGTGACCCCCCGCCCGTCCGCCAGCCCCGGGGCGCGGCACAGGTACCGT